TGGGTTGAGGAAGAAATAAAAAAAGAAATTAAAGACTTCCTAGAATTTAATGAGAATGTAGACACAACATACCCAAACTTATGGGACACTCTGAAAGCAGTGCTAAGAGGAAAGTTCATAGCACTAAGGACCCACATGAAGAAACTGGAGAATAGTCACACTAGAGAATTGACAGAAAAACTGAAAGCTTTAGAGCAAAAAGAGGCAAACTCACCGTAGAGGAGTAGACGCCAGGAAATAATCAAACTGAGGGCTGAAATCAATGAAGTCAAAACTAGGAAAACATTACAAAGAATCAATGAAACAAAGAGTTGGTTCTTTGAGAAGATCAACAAGATAGAAAAAGCTCTATTCAAACTAACCAAAAGGCAGAGAGACCACACTAATTAACAAAATCAGAAATGAAAAGGGGGATATAACAATAGACACCGAGGAAATTCAGAGAATAATAGGGTAATACTTTGAAAACCAGTACTTCACAAAATTCGAAAATCTAAAGGGAATAAACAATTTTCTGGATAGATATCACTTACCAAAATTAAATCAAGAACAGATAAGCAGTTTAAATCGTACTATAACCCCTAATGAAATAGAAGCAGTCATCAAAAGACCACCAACCAAAAAAAGCTCAGGGCCAGATGGCTTCACTGCAGAATTCTACCAGAAGTTCAAACAAGAGCTAATACCAGTATTCCTCAAACTGTTCCAGAAAATAAAAGAAGATGAGACATTGCCAAACTCTTTCTACCAGGCTACAATCACTTTGATATCCAAAACACACAAAGATATGACTAAGAAAGAGAACTATAGACCAATATCCCTCATGAATATCGATGCTAAAATACTCAATAAAATATTGGCAAATCTGATCCAATATCATATCAGAAAAATCATCTACCACGATCAAGAAGGCTTCATCCCAGGGATGCAAGGATGGTTCAACATACGAAAATCCATCAGTGTAATCCACCATATAAACAAACTGAAAAAGAAAAACCACATGATCATCTCACTAG